GACCCCCCCCCGGCGTGGTGCAGCTCGGGACTGGGTTTTTTTTTTTTTTTCGCCTGCGATAGCGCTGGGGGCGGCGTTGGGAAGCGTGATGCGATTCCTTTCCCTGCTGCCAGAACCTTGAAATTTGTGGCCACGATGATTTGGGAAAAAAAAAAAAAAATTCAAACCCAAAGCCTGGCGTTAGGAGTTGTGCTGGGAAACTTTTCAGAGAAAGCCGAACTTGGCAGCCGCTCAGAAACATCTGCCGGCGCGGCTGAAATCTGGAGCAGGCTCCGAATTTGGGGGGCGGAGGCTCTCCGCCCTCGCCCCCCCTCGATAGCAGCGCACCAACCGCTCCGATCCGGGTGATTTTGTTTTATTTTAACCACCTGGAGTCCAAACTGGAGCAACTCCTGAAGCTTTTTGGGTTTTTTTTTCTGCTGCTTTTTTGGTTTTTACCATTTTATTTGGGGGTTGCCAAGGAGAGGGGCTCAAAGGAGGGAAGAGCGCTGGGTTCCTCTGCTCCCACGGTGAATGTTTGATAGAATTTCAACCCCTACCTCTGTATTCAATTTTCTGTTTACTCTCCCACATCACTGCTACAAAATTTAATGCTAATTATGCCACAGCTGGGACTTGAAAATTTTGGGTCTTTGAAATCTTTTCTCCTAGACTTTTTTTTTTTTTTATATTTTTTTTTTTCCCCAAGGTTATCATTTCCCAGAATGGGCTTACAAGACAGAGTCCAGCCCGGGCTCGCGCCAGATCCAGCTGTGGCATTTCATCCTGGAGCTGCTGCAGAAGGAGGAATTCCGTCATGTCATCGCCTGGCAGCAGGGCGAATACGGAGAATTCGTCATCAAAGACCCTGACGAAGTGGCTCGGCTCTGGGGCCGCAGGAAATGCAAACCCCAAATGAACTACGACAAGCTGAGCCGCGCGCTGAGGTGAGCAGAAAGCTCCGTGGAGGCGACGGGCTGGCCATGAGCCTTTCGACCCTCCCGGGGCTCCTTGGGGTCAATAATTGTCGATATTCCATCTCTGGTTCCATGGCATCTGCGTTTTTGGAAGGTTTGTATCGAATTTGGATTGTGGGGCGCTCAGGTCGCTCTGACCGCGCTCGGAGACGACCTGGGGAAGGCTCACGATGTTTCACGTCGCGGTGTAAGCCTGCTCCTCCGGCTCAGGGTGTTATTATCCGGCTGATTTCCTTCCGGGGAGTTTTTTTTTTTTTTTCTCTCTGCTCTTTCTCTCTGCTCCCGTCATCAGCGCTCCCAAGGAGGGAGGAGACCCGAGGTGTTCCCCCGTCCTCGCGCCATCATACATCCTCATTTTACCCTTCAGAGCCCCAAAACCTCCAGCACAACATCACCCTCCTTTATTTAGACCCTTCCATGGGTTTTTTTTTTAATTTTTCACGTTATTTCTATGTATTTTGAAGTGGAAAAGGAGGCAGACCATCCAATATTTCACCATTTTGAGCCCGTCACCTGCGGGAGTGGCCGAATTCCTGCCAGGTCCCGGCATTATCAGTCCCTAAGGTTGGACTTCGCTGCCTCACACCCTCCGATACCTCCTGGGTGGAGCCGCCAAAGACAAACAAAGCAGCAAACACCCGGGTTTCATCCTGCAACAGGAAGGAAACAATAAATGGAACGGCACCGGGGCCGTCATTGGTGCACGGGAGGGGGGGAAAAAAAAATAACTTCCACCCACCGCCGGCCGCTCATCCCGGGGCATCTCAATGCCGGCGGCTCCTTCCTGCGCGGTGCTGGCCCCCGTGGTGTTTGGGGCGCGCTGTGGCAACAGATCCGCCCGGGACGCCTTTGTTTGAGGAGGAGGAGGACAAACAGCGGGGGTGGAAGCAGGGAGGAGGCTTTTAACCCCCCCGGCGGTGGTGGGGGCGGGGGGATGGGGGGGGGACACTGGGAGCACTGGAGGGAACTGGGAGGGAACTGGGGGATACTGGGGGGGTTCTTCAGACCGCTGGGGTGAACTGGGAGGCACTGGGGATGCTGGGTACCACTGGGGATGCTGGAGGTTCTGGGGGCGAAGAGAAGGAAGGGAGGCTGCCCCGGGGACGGGACTGGCTCCGAGTGCCCCCTGCTCAACGCTACAACACCCCGGGAGGTGGAGATGGAAGAAATAAAAAAATCAATCCGAGGCCAGCTGGGGAATTTTGTCCCTTTTGCTCAGCTCGGGTGTTGCACCCAGTTTTTTTCTGCCACTTTTTTCCCCTTTTTTGGGTTTGCTTCAGGTGAATTTTCCCCTCCTGTGGGTTTTCCCCGCTTCTCGATCCTTTAACGTCCCCCTGGATGTCACAGCCCCCGTGTCTCGCTGGTGGGGGGACACTACCGTGCAGGATGCTCCTCCAAGCCCCCCAGTCGGTGGCACTGGTCCCAGTTTGGGGCGCGAAGAGCGTGTCCAGGCTCCGCCCGTTGCTCCGCTTTCCGCTTCCAGCAGGATCTCGCCTTTCGAAGGAACTCAACCTGGAAAAAGGTTTGAAACCTGCCGCTAAAAAATCTGGTTTCGGAGGAACAGGTGTCGCTGGGAAACTCCCCCAGCAGCTGATATTTTCTTGGGTTTATTCCGTAAATTCTTTGGACAAATTCGGTTTCGTAG